TTATGGGAAATTATTCGCTAATCTGGAAAAACCAGCTCATCTATCTATGTGATGCTCCCCACCATTCAAAATGTTCCATTTTACCATGGTGTCAATAGGGTCCCGTCACATTGACAACTCACCTAACTCTTAAACTAATGTCGACGTCTATTAACATCCAAACAAGAAAAAAAGGGCGTTAATAAAAGTGGAAATCATGGGAAACATAATGGAACAACACAAACAAATCATATGACAAGTTGAACCTAGAAATCCCATCGAGTCCAACAAGACTAAACACAAAAATCTGAAATTGAAACCTATCTCAACCTTCCAGCAGCCCTAAGCAACATGACAAAAACTCCAATCATCTCAAACAAGACTGAACCCAAAATTTCAAAATCAAAACCGACCTCAATTGTCCAACGACACTCAGCAACCACTCGAACACAAAATACGTGAAGTGAAGAGAGACTGCTTCCCCTTCTCCGTTACGTGGGATCTTCCTAACCCTCGAATCACTTCTCCACAATGTGTCACCATCACATTCAAACTGTCGGATGATGAGCGCTGGATGGGGAAGTGTTAGAAAGGATCACATCCCAAACGATAATGGTGATAAAGATGAAGAAATTGGCTACAAGAAAGAAAAAGAAAAAACTTTCAAACCTCTTTGAAATTCAAACTTTTCAATTTCTGATCTTGAGCGGGAATATAAAATATGAAAAAATATTTAAGGGACACCATGGCAAAATGGAGTAGTCTAACACCATAGAAAAATGGAGTATTCTGAACGGTGCGGAGCACCACATAAGATAGATGAGTTGGTATTCTCGAATTAGTGAATAATTTCCCGTCCATTGTTAATTTTAATATGAAATAGAATACAAAAATGATAGATTCAAGCAAAATAGGGTTTAAGAATGAAGGTGCAAAGTAAAGAGAGTAAGAAGAGAATAAAAGAGAGAATGGAAGACTGAGTTTAATTATGAATAGGGTGTCCAAAATACTTTTATTTGTACCTTTATTTGTATTTTTTTTTTTTTTTTTGTAATATTAAGTACTTTTTTGTCATTTTAAATGGGGACATAATAGTAAAAAAGTTTCATTAAATTAGGATGGGAAAATTCTATTTCCACACGCCTAATTAGCTCAAGATACATACTTAATGAAATATTAATTTAATAACAATTATATCCTAAATAAAAATGACCATAATAGACATCCAACAACCCCTATAATATTATATAGAAAACTTATTTGTACATATTTTTTAAGAACAAAAAAATCTCAATATATACCTTTTGAGTTAAAAAAATTAAACCTTAATTTTTTCATTGTTGTCGCTTTGCTTGTTAAACCCTAGTCTTTCCATCTGTGCATTCTCGACGTTCCCTTTTCTCTATTTTGCTACATACGTGATTGTGTTAATGTAACATACTAGCATGATTTCAACTGTGTTGCTTTCTGAACTTGTTTGATATAATTTCTTTCATTTCGTATTACGAATTACTTTACCGCTTCATGCGCTGTCTTTTTACCACAAATTGATTTTGCTACTGTTTATTTCGAAGGAAATGAGAAGTGGTTGAGGTGCTATATGGTTGTATAATGTAAAGCATGGATTAGCTGCCATTGTCCAAGGAGGACAAATCAATTACTACTTCGGAGATTTTTTTCATGGAAGTCTTTCATTTATGTCTTCAATGGAGGAAAAGTTTCTTTAGGTAGCGTTTGGTAGAGTTTTGTAAATGTGATTTGAGAGTATGAGTTGTATTTTGAGTTTGTGTGTTGTGGAATTATAATTTGAGTGTAGAAAATTTGTTTCGTAAAGAGTTTTGAAAATAGTTTTGAAAAGAGTTTGATTTGAGTGGGGAATTGTTGATGTCACGTTTGATATGTGATACAAAAATTTACAACTCATAACTAAACATACAACTCAAAATTATTTTAAAGTACATAAAAATTTTTAAAAATTTCAGAAAATGTTTTTTTCGATTATATAAATCAATTGCAAAAAAAAAAAAATCACTATTCTGGTCAACCGGCCAGACGTCCCGTCAGGCAAAATTTTCAAAAAAAGAAAAGAAAAACGCATCTGTCAAAACAGAAAACCGCAGGTGTTCTGTGCAGAGTTTTGGAATCATCATTTGAGAACACTAACCAAACACCATACTTGAATTAAGGTGTGGAATCATGATTTGAATACACAACCAAACAGAGCTTAATAAATAAAAAATGTAGAAGTTGGATAAATAAAAATGTGTGGAAATGAGAGGTAAGTGGTGTGTACAATAATATTTGAGTTAAGGATATAATTGTAATTATTAGTGTGTGGATTAAGAAAATTAATCAATAAATAAATTAATAAATTTGTGTATTGAGAAAAAATATACCCTGAATTAATTAGGTGTGTGAAAATAAAATTTCTCATTAGGATGTCCAACCTAATTTTTAAGGTGCAAATAGAGCTTCCCACTAGCTCACTTAAATGAAATATTTCATTTTCCAATATTACCCTTACTTGTTTAGCATATTATCTAGAATATCTAGTCTTCAAATGGTATTGCAAGTGATAGATTTATTGGGTATTCTAATTAACTAATGCTAGAAACCTATCAAATATTTGAGCTACAAATTTATTCATAATGATGTGGTAAAAGAATCAAACTCTCAATCATTGGTTGTATAATAAATCAAAAGTTGACACATATCCTGACATATCATTGTGGATAGAATTATAAGAATTTTTTTAGGGGTCTCAAACATTTTCTTTTAAGTTTTTTTTACAAATATGATATACTTTTACCTAAAAAAGTGAATAGTTATGATCAAAATGAGATCTAAAATAAATCCAGCTAGTACATAGTTGTCACTCCAATTCTATTAAAAAAAATGCACACGCAAGCTTTTAAAAATAGTTTTTTAAATTTTTCATGATTTTTTGAAATAGTTTAATCAATTTTTTTATTTTTAGATTCATTTAATTTTAATATACTTAAAAAGTAAAAAAATTATACAAAAATCTTTTTAAAAATTAGGATAAACTACCAATGGGTCCTAATTGTTGGATTTAACTCCCATTAAGTCCTATTGAAAGTTAGTCAGTAAAATCGTCACTAAGAATAATTTTTTGTGGTGATTTTTTGCATATGTCTCTAAATATTGACAATTAGCGACTTTTTTTGTCGCGATTTTTTATAAATCGTTGCTAAAAATTACAATTAGTATTTTTTTTATACAAAAATTAAAAATTAGTGAAATTTTTTTGTGACAATTTTTTTAAACTGTCGCTAAAATTTATAATTGGCGACATTTTTTGTAACAAAATTTCCAAATTGTCTCTGAAAATTAACAATTAGTGACTTTTTTTAATAGTGTTTGATAAAAAAATGTTATTAATTATCATAAGACCTATTGGACAATAAGTTCATCTATTAGGATCTATACGTAAGTATCGCAAAAATTTATTGAATACAACAAATTACGAAAATATATTGAATTTTTTAATTTTTTTTGTGTATTTGATGAATTTTTTTCTAGTTTTCTCACAAATATTATACTTTTTAAGTTTATTTAGATTAGATATACCTAAAATTAAAAAAAAAATTATGTAAAATGTTTTAAAAAAATCACTACGAAAAAAAATAAAAAAATAGAAAATAAAAAAATTAATATTTAAAAAAATTAATTAAATTTTCTGAAACCAAACATACTTGTTGATACCTAGTACCGTTTGAATGCTTCAATTTTTTTTATTTTTTTTTTTTGATCGACAAAAAAGAAACTTTATTGATGGAATAAACAAGCACAAGGTACAATGCAAATTACATCAATAAAGAAAAGGGGAGTGCAAAAGCATCACAATGAGCTAAATAATCTCAACTAGGTTGGCACCAAAAAGCTCATCATATCATCTGCAAGCACCCCCAGAGTTGGTGAGAGACCAAAGAGAAAAAAAAAAAAAAAAAAAAAAAAAAAAAAAATAATGCTATATCCTTATTAGGAGAGAGGAATATAGATATTTGGGGATAGAGGGCCAAGAGACATACATGCTTTATAATGCCCAAATCAAGTTGGAACAAATGTGATTGATTGATACAAGGAAATGGGACAAAGAGGGACTAAAGTGCTAAAAGTCAAAAAAGCCCCAAAACCTGTTATGCTTGTAATCTCCCCATGCCAAATTTTGTGAGTTGTGATCATCTATCAGTTTCCATTTATACTATTAAATTTGAAGTGAATTCAAATTTGTTTGAAAATTACATTTTTGCTCTGGGTTTTCTGTTCAAACTTATTTTTAATTTGTGTGATATTGTCAAATTATTTAAAGAGAATGATAACTCTAAACTTTCATCCTCCATTTTGAGATCAAGATCGAGAGAGAGAGAATTGCACATTATTGTTACTTGAAAAATAATATATAAGTCTATTTTTTAAACTCAGTAATGTGTCAAGAAGATGATTGGTTGATAATTAAATATTCTCTAATTATCAACCAATTATCTTCTGAATACATCACTGAGTCTAGAAAGCAGATCTAATTTTTAGACATGAATAACAATACTCTTATTATTTTTCTTAGTTCCTAATGTCATAAAATACTTCTCTATACACGTTTCATACACAATCATTATTAGTAGTAGATCAGAGAATGCATGTCAAAGGTACTCATGAATTGCAACAAAATGTTAGGATCACTAACACCACAAAATAGGCAATAATCACCAAATGTTAGTTCACTTCTTTTTTTTTTTTTTTTTTTGGAACTAAAATGTTAGTTCACTTGGATTGTTAGTATCTAGCATTTTTAATTTTTTTTTTATTATTATTATGAATCACGAGGCCAAACACAATCTTAAATAGGCAATAATGCCGACAAAATCACGTAGTTTACAATAAACTTGCCTGTATTTCTCAAATCATATCCCTAGTTAATCAAGATTACAAGCAATTCAAGTTCTATATCTCTTCATTTTCTATAAAAAGAAAAGTAAAACAATATAACAAACTAAATCCCCCCTTTAATTTCACATCTTTAGTATAAGAGAAGCTGCTGTGTATAGAGCCCATGCAAGAAATGTGGAAATGATGGTAGTCTTAGTAGGCATCCTTCCTTTATCAGTCCTCAACACCATAGCCTCATAAACTGGGCAACAATTCAACACCACAAAACCCGAAATCAACAATTGACCAAACAGTCCCTCTGAGTTCTTGCCCCTCAAAACTCCGATCAACCCTCCAACAAACGCGATTAAATTGATTATTGCTGCTACTGCTAGTGACACAAACATGGGCGACTCAACTCCGAACTCAAATGTCCCTTGATCATACCTTTTGCCCTGTTCATTGTCTATTACTTTGCTGGTGACATTGAATCCCTGTGTGGCAATGCCTACGTACTTCGATATGAATTCTATTAATCCAAACATGTGACATGTGACTCCCCTCACCATCCACATCCTTTGATCACTCCACCACCTTTGAAATGTTCCTTTGGCTAAGATGTAGTCAAGACAATCTTGTCCATAGCTCCCAATAAATAGAAAAATGTACAAGAAAAAACAGTTATCCGAAACCTGTAACATTAGTTTAATTACAATTTGGGGTTAGTTTACATACATAAAATAGAATAACAGAAAAGTATAAAAACAAAAAACCCTACACTACATCCCTTAAGGTTTGAAGAAAATA